ATCTATCTATCTATCTATCTATCTATCTATCTATCTATCTATCTATCTATCTATCTATCTATCTATCTATCTATACATTATAAATGCATTAAATGTATGTAATATATTAAACTGTGGTTTAAAGTGAAAATTGTGGAAATTGATAAAAGCGAAACACCCCTGTGTGGTCTTTTATCCACTAGAGCTGTGGTCTACCCCCAAATAGTGGAAAGCTTAGTACGGGCATAATGATTTTTTGCCCTTGGGCCTGTCAAAGTCTCCGTGTCTGTTAAATGTTTCTCATCATGACTTCATGCTTCCAAATGTCGGCCTTAATGTTATTCAAATGAGCATCAACTGTCTTAAATGTGCAGCAATATTGCTTAAAAATGGTTAGAAACAAAACGCAAATGTAGGAAACATATTGCAACATCTGTTACATCTTCTTGACTTTCATCACTGCATACAGCATAAATGTGAAAATAACCATATGCACGAGAATTATCTTTAATGGTGGGGTGTTTTACTTGAAAAATCAACTCCAGACAGGGTATAGAACATTTAGCCTTTCAAAACATCCAGATCCTCTTTTTATCAGATAGCAATCAGATTGAGTCTTTTTTTCTTTACCATTGTGAAGATTAAAATTATTGTTTGGCAAGTTTGCCAAGCAAATTATTCAACATCCAGGGATTTCATGGATCTGTCAAAGCTGTAGATTCTCATTACACATACAACTGATGACTGATGTGGAAAATGTACCATATTAGAAATGCTCACTGGTTAATTTCATGCACTGAATACGATCATTTCTGCAAATGTTGCAGTGAAGAGGTTCAGTTTATCGGTCTATAATGCAAGTATAAAGAAATTAAATGCAACATTTTGTCATCATTCCACGTTTTTTTTTCAGTGCCCTACTCATCAATTTGCTTGAATAATTTTCACAGTCACCACAATTGTTAATTTATCGTCAAATGCTATGACTAAGTTGGTTTAAGTAAAGTAAACCAGCACTGATTCTTGAAATGTTGCATTTCAAATGTAGCAGAGAATAAACCACAAGCACAGAAGCTCATGCTTACCCCTCTAATGAAATGATTATACTGATATAGTGATATTCATGTCAGGCAAATCCTCTAAGGGCATTCAAAGCATAAGTGAATTAACAACGAATGTGAATATTATCTGTGAGGCCAATATCTGATAAAATGTGTTCTTCTGTGCAGCAAAGATCCATTGTTATTAAAACATGACCATGACCACAGGCTCTTCGAAATTCAAAAATGTATTTTCAGATGAAATAACGATTCAAAGCTTAAAATTTTCAGTACAAACACTGGCTCAATGCTTAGTACCAATCACAAGTTACAGACAAAGGTTATTTTTGCAGCACTCAGTAGTTTAGGGAAAGAAAAAAAAAGAGGGATGAGTAGCAAGATGAGCTTGCTTATCAGTGTCTGCAAAAACTACTTGTTGACTCAAGCTCAGGACATATTCCTCCATAAATCTGACCAAATGTCTTACCAAATCATTCATTTATGTTGCCGCAAATGGCTCTTTCTTTTACTTTTTAATCAACATACTTTACTACTGTCAACTGATATATCAGAAGTGTACATTTTCTTTATGTGGTCAGAAGAAAATGCTGTTAGAAACTGTAGCATTAATTCATTTTTGTACTGTGTTTGTCCATCAGAAAACATCTTGTATGAATCTTTTTGTGACTAAATTGCAAAGGCCGAAGGAGCTGACACCTCAGTCTGTGAAAATAGAATGTTTTCTTCTCTTTTATTAACCTGAAGATCCTTTTTTATGTTAGTGTTTCATGCTTTATGTGTGTAATAGATGAGCTTGCATCAGGCCTTTTGTCAATAAACACTTTCACTTTACTGGATCACAGTCAAATTAATGATATTTTGAGATATCTGAGCTTTGTAATGAACATTTTTAAACCCGGTTTCTTCCTCTACTCTGTGAGCAAATGAAAGTGAAAGCTCTTAAAACTGTCCTGAGCAACCTGGCAGTCTTCCACCACCCCCGTCGGAGAGCCACAGACAGGGAAGCAGGGTGTGAAAAGACGAGCCCTGTTAAAGGTCAGGCATGATGGCACAGCTCTTTTAATTCACAGCTTTTCTTCTCACGTCTCCTCACAGGGAATGGGTTGTGCAATTGTGGCAACTGTGAGTGCTGGGATGGCTGGACCGGGAACGCTTGCGAAATCTGGGTGGGAGAAGAGTACTGAGAAGAAAGGGACACAGGGGGGGGGGTTAGTAACCAGAGTTCCCCCTCTGTCCTGAGTGGCCAGTCCCAGTCACGACCAATTCGTTTCAACATCACAGCCCGGACACCAAAGAAGAAGAGTAAACATGGATGTAAATCTCTAATATCATTCATTGTTTTATTGTACTGGTTACAGTTTATCCTTATTAAAAATGTGTTTTGCTGGAACTTTCTTGTTGTTTAATGAGTATTCCATTATATTTTTTATATTTTCATAGTTTCATTTTTTGTATTTCAGAACATACAATAGGGTGTGTGTACTTCACAAATCAAGATGCTGGAAAGGGGAAAGAATTGTATTAATGAGTTGCATTTAAGGAACTTTTAACCCTTATATTATGTTAAGGGTCAATTTGACCCGTTTCAGTTTTTGTGTTGGTAAAAGGGCTGGTTATCCTTTTTTTTTCTTCATGAAATTTGGTGACTTTTCCTCATCTGGGGTCATGAACCTGTGTGTGAAATCTGGTCACTCTGCTGTGTACGGGGGGGTCTGTGCAGAGTTTGTATACAAAGATGATGTTGCGGGTCATTTTGACCCGCACACCATTAATGTGGGTAAGTAGCTGTTCAGATCCAAAATAAACATGTCTCTTCAGTGTACTTGTATTTTCATTGCCTCTGAGACCCAGTCCCAGGTGTTTGTGAAGGGTTTGGGTCTGAGGGTCTGTGTAAAATACCCAACATCACCACACCAAAGTCGAGGCAGATTGTCATCATCCAATGTGATCAATATGACTCCCGGTCATTCAAGATTTGCCGTCACAATATTTGATTAGATTCAATCAGCATTTCAGATCTTCATATCTCCACCAATAGAGAGGATGATACTGGAAATGACCAACTTAGAGGGGAGACGTGTGTTTCAAGAGAAAGGGAAGCCACTGGATCAGACTGGCTTGCATGCTTACACTGGAGTTCTGTTAGTAGCTGGAGTGTACAGGTCAAAGGGGAGTAGCAACTGCAAGTTTATGGATTGAAGACAATCCTGGTCCCCATGTTACTGTAGATGAGAGTCTTGTTCCTTTCAGGGGGCGCTGTCCTTTCTGACCGTACACGCCCAACTAGCCTGCCAAGAGTGGCACCAAAATATTGGCTGCCTGTGATGCAAAATCCAGCTATGCATTGAATCTGCAAGTATGCACTAGAAAAGCGACCTGGAGGAAAATCTGAGAAGAATCAGGAGATGCATGTGGTTCTGGAGATTAGTGAAGGGTTGCAAGGTCATATCATCACCTGTGACCACCTTTTGTCACTTGTTCCAAAGTAACAAGGAATGCCTTGGAGAAGAACTTCAGAAGAGAAAGTTGACCATGTTGGTAACAGTCAGATGCAATAAGCCAGAACTTCTCAGTGAAATTCAGAAGATGCAGGGCAGACCTCAGGATTTGCTTTCATTGAGAATGTGACAGTTGTCTCATACCGCCCAAAGATAAACAAAAATGTTCTTGTATTGAGTACAATGGAAGCTGATGCATCTCTGGGCACAAGAGAGGACTTGAATCCACAAGTGATCCTGGGTTATAAATCCACCAAAGGAGGAGTTGAAAATCTGGACAAAGTCACAGCAACATACAGCTGTCAGAGCCAGTTTGATCCAGACTCGATCCAGGCTAGCTTAGCCCCAGTAGCAGCAGCTATCATTGAAAAGGTCAAGCTCAGGTCCCCCAACCAACAACCAGTGGACAGGTGAAAAAGAAAGGGAAAACCAGGATGCCAGGTCTGTCCATCCCAAGAAGACAGTAAAATAAGTGCCTCTTGTGTGAAATGTAAGAATTACACCCGCAGAAAGTACATATTAAAATTCGAAAATGTGTTAGTGAAGAGGGAAAATCCCCCAAAAAATAGTACTTAAAGAAAGTGTTGGAATTAAAAATGTATTGTATGTCACTTTTCTAAATGTTCAGTCAATATTACATCATTTTTTATTTGTTTCACCTGTTTTTTTACTGTTTTGCAGTCATTTACATGGTGCGGGTCAAAATGACCCGCAACATAATCAATGTAATTTTTTTCTAACATAATATGAGGGTTAAATACTATGTCTTAAACTGATACCAACTGGTATATCATCCTAAATCTAGACTGAAAGCTTGCTCAAAAGCTCAAGACAGAGGTTACTCTTTGAATGTTTATTTTCTTTTTCATATTAAAACATTAAATGTGCCGCATGACACAACATTTTGCATGGAAAACAATGTGAAGACCTTAATCATACATGTTTACAAATTTGTTATAACATGACATAACTCTGATGGGCATTCTTGCCATGGTATATTGTATATAGTTTGGAAAATAAATAATTTTGATAGTGCCTATTCTTATCCCATAAGGAAATCAAACCAGAGAATCTGCCGTGTAAATTTACACTATGCTAGATGTGATTAGATTAAAGTGGAATAAAACAAAGAGAAGGGCATAAATAGTTCGGTTGTGGCATGCCGGATATCCATGTCACTTCAAAAGATTGTATCAGGGGATGAAATGTGCATCGACACAAGAGCTCAGTGACCACTTGAAAAGAGGACCAATACAAAGTCACTAAGAAAATGTTATGTTAATTCTACTTTGGCCTTTTTCATGCTTAAACTAGCCAAACCCTCTGCTTTATTTGTCTCGTCAAAAATGACAGGTGCAATAATATACTGCACGCTATATTGCATTAAGTATCGAGTTACTGACATTACAGTACACCTTTACGTAAATATTTTATTCAATATGTTGTATATACGTATACAACAAACACAAACTGTATAGTGTAGACAAACTCATTGCATATATGTAAAATTAGCAGTACATACCAACGGTTCTTGACATAGCCTACTACATGCAGTTCATCAATGCCATCCTCTCCCCATGCAACAGATGGGACAACATACAAAACAAGAGGTTGAAAACAGAAGCAACAAAGTTTTTTGAATATCCTTGTAACACATTTAAAGAGAGGGAGAACAAAGTAAACGTGACCGAGATCTGAAAGACGACATCACAAACGACCCGCATACCAGAGAAATGAAGACGAACAGAAGAGGAAAGATGACCACAGGGATGTACATTTACACACCAGTCAGTTACAAAAATAATGCCACCCTCAGAGGAGCCAGTGAACAGGACTGAAAAAGGGCTGAAGTGGTAACCAGCCCAGCATGTAGAGTTTGAAAAAGAGGAGGATAACTAGCCGTAACGAGGGCAAAACATCCGCCCAGAATTACGACTTCAGTGGTTTCCAGCTCCTGTGTGAGAGTGTAGTTGTGTACAATTATTTTTCATAGCATTAAACAGCATTATACAGACAAGTAATGGCGTCTAACTAATGTTCTTTGATGTGCTGTAGTAGGAAATGGTTATGTATAATTCCAATAAACTCAGAAAATTAAAATTACCAAATTAATTTCTTATAACATAGTCGCACTTTTAGCAGCATACAGCAGCAACAATCTACTTAATATTCTAAATCTTATCTAGTAAAACTATTAGGAAAAAAAATCATTGTAGCAAGATGTAAAAAAATGTTGATCAAATAGACCTTTGATAAAATTGCTAACAATCGTGATGAAATGCAAAACCAAGCGCCGTGGATTAAGTTCGGATATTAAGTGTGAGTGCACGGAAGCCTACAACATGCCCATTCAACTCCCACACTTGAACTTCAATGCTCCTCTGCTCACGCAGAGTGGAGGGCAACGCCCATGCCTCGTTCCTTATAGAAAATGCATGCATGTGATTAATTCATGGTTTATGTACTTCTTCCAAAACTGACATCAGTCAAGACCTGTGCCGGTCTGAGCAGAGTGGAGTATTTCGAACAGAGGAAATGATATCACAGTGAAAGCTTTGATGAATTGAATCTGAGAGTTCTCAGATTTTTAAAAGATTCGCTTGTTCTTTTTATCCTTTTTAAAACTCTTCTCGGGATGGAAAGAAAGACTTTGGTCGTATCAGAGTGGATACATCTGAGTGTGATATATATAGTTTTTTTTTTGTTGTTGTTTTTTTTCGTGATGAACAATGCTACGTGTCCTCTACATGGATCTATTGGGTGAGTGAGGCACCTTTGGCCCAGTGGGGACTGGGATCCTGTTTTTGCATGCCGGGAATCAAGGTCCAAACAGGCACGTAATAGGCCAAGATGATCAGTACTGGACTCTGCATGCTGAGCTAGGAGACAAATCCTCTCATAATAATAATAGTAATCATAATAATATCTAGTCATTTAAAAAGTTATGATCTTTAATTGTCATTTTCCCTACGTTTTATACAGTGAAAATGTTGCACTAGAAGCCATCTCTTGTATAACTGCTGCAAAAAGAGAACACAATATTAACCTTGTCCATGCTTTTAGTTTGCTGAACCAAATAGGAATGCAGCCAGTATAAATGTCACCTACTGGTTGTCAGCCATGTTGTTTTTCTTTGCTTTAAGTAGACATCGCCATAAGATGGCTGCCAGTGCTGTAGTTGTAGACCATCTGGGTCAAAGCCACAAGCCTTTGCCTCTTAGACCAAAAAAAGTCAGTGAGTGAGGGACAGAGGCCTACAAGGCCTAGAGATATTCCTAGAGCCCACGCTCTGAAATAAGATTAAAGAAAAATAGATTTCAGGTTTTTCTATTTACCAGAGAAGGCGGACTGAACCGCTGGTGGGACATAGATAGTGATATGTATACACCATTCCTCACAGCACTATACCACCCACACACACATCTGTTTATAAATGTGTGTGTGTGTGCATGTTTGCATGTGTGTAGGGAGCTCCTTTCATTGATTGCAGTGACGGTAATTAGCACTTCATCAACTATGATTGCAGGAGCTATCTGTCAGCCTCCGGCGTGTTTTTATGGGCTGTAAAAAAAGCAGCGTCTCTCATTTGCCACACAAACTTTGCGTGGCCGTCTTTACATGTGTGCATGTTCTCGGCAAAAAGTAAATTTTGACTTTTTTTTTCATACGTATCCTTTTTTTTATGCCACATCTATCGTCATGTATTTCTTAGAAAATAACATAACTCCCCTGCAAAAATGTGTTCATCTTTTCTGTGTTCCTTGACAAAGAGAAGAAAAATGTGTGACCGGAAATAGAAAGAGAAGGAGAGGGGAACATACTTGTAAAAAATATAGGACCATAGCCCAAATATTTACTCTATCTATACAGTCTCTATCCCAGAACATAGCTGGTGAACTGTGGTATAGAAAATAGATCTGAAGGTACACAGGCTCTGCTGCAACAGGGCATTATAGAGAGAGGGAGTTTTTTTTTTTCTAACAAACTGTAATCAAGCAAAGTAAGCGTCATTGTGAAACATGGTATTCCCATGAATTCTCATAGTTTCAGAGGAATCTAAAGGCAGTCCATGATCAGAGGTCCTCTTCCCCTCCTGTACTGAGCGAGCTCAGCCACCTCAGAATCCATCCACAGCTGGAGAAAGGGAGGAGGAGCGAGAGAATAAAGGAAGGGAAGTTCACTTGGATGCGATCCAATGAAGAAAGAGGGTCTGGAGTCACGTCGGAAAAAAAAATCCCGCCTCCGTCTCGTTCCTCCCTTCTGCACACGTAGGTGGGACGCGGCTCGGGCGTGGCTATGTGGCGGGTTTGTCGGGCTTGCTGACGGGTTTGCCTCCGTTCATCACTGCCGGCTCACTTGTGCTTTTACTGGGAGGTACGGCCGCCTTGGGCACTGTCTCTCCTACATCATGCAACGATGGCTCTCTGTACATGGCGACTGTAAGGGGCAGACATGTGAAAAAAAAGAGAGCAGAGAAAACAAGAAGGAAAAGCTGTTAGGAGGAACATCGTCATTGCCCTTTTGAGTATACCCCAATTCCCTTAACAACACTTGCTTTTGTTTCTTTTTTTAAAGGTTATGTGGAAAGTGGGGGAAAAAACAGCTTGCAATTTACTGACGGTAAAAGCAGACCCGGGCTTTGAATACGTGAGCCCCTGACTCACTTATTCCTGCGTCACTGCGGATCTGAGTCTTCCGAGATTAAAGCAAAACAACAAAAAAATAATAATAAATTGTACTCCCCATTTTTCAAGTTCTATGCTACAGCTGTGTTACTTTCTTGACTCAACACTTCACTTTGATTCCTTGTCAGAAATGATGGGAAGCAATCAGGCTGGTGGGCGATGAGACGTTCATGAATACAGAAATAATATGGGTCATAACTAGATATCTCATCTAAAGAATGTAGCTAAAGAATGTATCTAAAGAATTTATACAAATACAAACTAAGTTTTGTGGTGATAAGACTCCTATTTACCAAACTAATGTGAACAACAAGAAGTGATGAGATGTCTCCTGCTGTATCACCACAAAGGACAGCAAGTATATCCGAAAAGTCTCCATTCTCGTCCAAAGAATTGTAGCTCATTCCTCAAACAAACTTACCAAAAGGGCTCTCTCACTGACCAAATTAATGTAAATTCTCCATATTCACAAAAAAAACCCAAACTAAGTCCAACAATGTCTATGCTGCTTTACATACTTAGACATGAAAGAGGTGAATGACCAATGCTCTGGACATCCCCGATAGCTTATAACTGACTTGTTACCAAAGGCATCTGAAGACAGTTTTTTATGTTTAAAAAGCTCAAATTTTCTGGTTATTACTACTTTGTAAGCCACATTTATTAATAACAAGGGCCCATGCTGCACTGATGGCATGAAAGTGAAAGAGAAAACACAATTTTTTTATTTTGCTATGATACAGCCGATAATGAAATAATTGTAGCTTGTGACTCAAATCTAGTTACATTTTAAAAGCGAAAATTCTAAACATTTAGGCAAGCAAAACTGTCCTTAAATTTGAAAAAAAATCACTTTTGTCTTTCACATGTGTATTTACGACATACCTTCTAATGGCTTGGGCAGGAAGTGAGCAGCTGGTTTTGTCTTTTTCACTCGGTTCCCCTTCATGGCTTGGCCCTCTTTATTAAGCCCCAGGAACCATGCTCTCCCCGATTCCTGTTGTCTGTACAGCATGGACGAGTAGATCACGTAGTAGTTCTCGAACACCGACTCTTTGAATTTGCATTCTGCTGTGAAGAGTTCCTGCACAGACGAACGAAAGCAGCAAGGATTTTAGGAAAACGAAAGAATTAGCTGAAAATCAATGCAAATGAGATTCCATTCAACTTCAATATATGTGGAACTTCAACTAGAATATATGTGGAATGCGTTCAAGTTAACTCAAATGAATGATTCATATTTCCCATTGTGAAAGAACGAAACAGATGTCACATTAATAATTGACGGGACGGAGATCAGGTGGACAACCGGCACTTTTATTTAAACCCGGCAGAAGAGTCCTACGGTGACTAAAGAACCTTCACCATGCCTGGTGAAACAAACATAATTTTTTAACCTGTCTGGGAGAGGATGAGCTTTCTAGTGTCCCCCGCTATAATCACCTTGGATGAAATGCAACCCTCACTCTATCCTTGGCCTTAACCTCGACATCAAATGTAAGAGCACTCATTTTACCAATTAGCTAAGGCCCTCGGCATGGAGTATATATTGTTAGGTTCTGACACCAGGACGCAAACCCTGGAAAAATCAGACCACCCAGAGGTCTTCCAAGAGTGGCTCTCCTAGTTCCTCCTTTTTTCTTTTGTTTTTCTTTTTTTTACGTTTTACTTTTTAAAGACTAAGCCAGAAACAGATCGTTCTTCTTACATGCATGTATGCTTATTTCAACGCCACTTCTGAACTTTCCATGAATAATGACGGATATAATCGGATGATTTCCCTCATCCGTTACACCTCAATCTGGCAATGACAAACGAACACGGAAGCACCACATCTCTCTCCACGGTTACCGATTCGTCTCCAACCAGAGGGGTAATAAAAGGCATTTCCACACTGTCTGCCCTGCCTCGCTAAAAATAAAGGCATTCATTCTGGTGTATTAATCAAAGCACAGTCATCAGAATGGAGAGCTTTGCCACATCTGGTGAAAGTACTTCACATTGTGCTGGTTCACCGAATCACTGACTTTAGGAGGAAAAAACTAGACTTCCCTGTGCTGCTGTGATATATATGTATATATATATATATTTATATATATACATATACATATTTATATCTTTAAGTTACATTTAGAAGTCTGTGAGGTAGTTATCAAATATCCTGCATCCCTAACTTCCAGTGCAATTTGACAAAATTATTAAATTACTTTAATTACTATATAGTTATCTTATAATCTTAAAAAGTTATTGAAACTGTATGTCAGTTCTTGAGGCTGATGACAAAGCTACAGTATATTTATCAAACAAATAATCATAATGCTGCTGTCTGTTTTCCAAAGGTTGCAGTCAGAAACAGACCGTCTATGCAGATTAGAACCTCCTTTCCTTCACTTTACCAGTATTTCTCACTCTAAAATCAAGAATATTTCCAGTTGGAGCCATATTAGTCGATGCTTCCAAGTGTGGAATGGGTATTAAACATTTTTTTCTTTTTCTTTTCTTTTCTTTTCCCTTTCCATCTTTTTATTTGTAAACTATTAGAAAATATTACAATTTACTAATATGGAGAAAATCCTGATGTTAGACAGATAATAACGGTGTTTTTATTGCATTGAACATAAAAGAGATTTTCCGACCATTTGAATAAAATCCAAACATGACCTCCCCAACTGTTGGACAAGTCGGAAGGATTTATCTTTTTGAACGCTGAACTTCATCAACGCAATATTTGATCTAGCCATCAATCTCACCAAAAGCACTTGAGATACTTCACAGATGTGAAATGGCAAGCCCGGCTTTGAAAATGTCACGGCAGATCTAGGGGCTCTATCCTTATGAATATCCTGTTCCAGCACAGGAAGTGATGTCTGAATCGTTTCTATCGGTTTTGAACACAGATTGAACTGCATGTGACGTCAAGTTGAAAGAGCTTAGAGAAAAGGTCTCCTGGATACCACCTCACCAGGTCTCACTGAAGGTCTATTTTAATGTCATAGGCCCTTCTAATAACGTAGCCTTTCATTCTGGGAAATTTCACAGGTACTTCTTTGTGTCCGCTCCATAAAGAAATTAGCACTGGAACATGTTGCTGAGTAACGGACAATTAAGTCATAGTCTGCAGCTGTGGAAATGGTAGTCTATTATGAACAGCTACACACCTGCCTCTTACTGTTCTTTTATATCCAAGATTATTGAGAGAGTTTTATTTAACCAGCTCTATGACTTTCTGATTGAAAGTGGAAATCTTGAGAACTTCCAATCGGGCTTCCGGCGATTTCACAACACTGAAATTGATTAAAGTGTGGGTTAAATATAGATTCTGGTTATGTTTCAGGCCTGGTATTGCTGGATTTAAGTGGTGTGCTTGATACTGTAGATCACCACATCGTGTCGCACTGGGTTTAGGACTGGCTTGAACCTTCTGGAGCTTTTCTTCAAAGGTTCAGGTCCTATTTAAAGTTATTTTGTTACAATTGGCAGACATGAATCTGAGCGATGGGCCGTGACTTGTGGAGTCCCCTAGGGGTCAAATCTTGGACCTCTTCTATCTATACGTGTATATGCTCCCTTATAGACAGATATTACAGAACTTTAACAGCAATTATCACGGTTATGCAGACGATAGCAACTTTATGAGTCTGCCAGTAGGTGACTGTAGCCCAGCTAACATACTATCTCAGTGTTTGGAGAATAAAAACTGAGATCATTCCATTTGGCTGCACAGAGGACTGGGTCAGCCTTGGTAAACACCTCGAGACTTGGGCTCTTACAATCATTTACCAAGTTTGTAGTGCTAAGAGTCAGATTTGACTTTCACATCAAAGCTGTGTCCAAAGCAGATTTTTACCAACTCAGAAACATAAACAGAATTAAAGGCTTCCTCTCCCAAGAACCAGGAGAGTCTCATCCATGCGTTCATTTCCAGAAGACTGGATTACTGTAATGGGCTTTTCACTGGACGTCCCAAAAATAACATTACACATCTGTAACTCGTCCAGAAGTTTTAACCAGGACAAAGAGATCTGAACATATCATACCAGTTTTAATGTCATTACAATTCCAGTCAGTTACAGAATAGATTTTGAAACCCTGCTGATATTTTACAAAATCCAGATCAGTTTAGACCCACAATACTGGGATGTCAGAGAATATAAACCTAGCACAGTTCTTAACATCCAAGGACTCAGGTCAGATAGTAGACATCAGAGTCCACACCAAACATGGAGAAGCAACATTTAGCTGAAATACTCTATAGAAGTGGAATGAACTGCCTGTGGAGATTACATTTTAAGTACATGTAGAATTCTTAAATCCTAGTTAGAAACATTTCTTTTGTCATGTGTCTATGCTTGAAATCTATCTAATATTGTTTAACGCATCAAAACAGCTGTTTGTTGTTAATCATTTAAATTTATTCTATTTTAGTGATTTTGTTTTACATTCTAATGATCTTGTTTCTCTTTAAATAATTTTTTTAAATTTGTCTTATTCTTATGCTGCTACCTACTGTAATGTTTTTATTTAATGTAAAGCACTTTCAATGTGCCAAACAAATACATTTGACTTTTTTTATGCATTTAACCATTGCTCGCTCTGATGTTACATGGTTTTTGCATACAAAAGAAAACTCTTCTCCATCTAAAAAAGACAGTGACCATGATTCATATCCCTCCAAGGCGATATCCTTGGCTGAGAGAAGCACCTTAAATGTCAAAGGTCCTTGTTTGCTCATGATGAAATCATTGTCTGCTAATGAACTCCCTCCATCAAGGATCCATATTATACATATTTTTTCATCAAAACTATGATGCATTGCATTAGAAACACCATTCCAATTCAGTCCAATCAAGGCAGTCATTGTGGACATCCAGACATCAAAGCGCTGATCTCTTGACTACGGTTGGTCGACTATGGAGTTCAATCACTCCAATTAAAACCCAGGTTTAATGTATCACAGGCTATTCATGCAGCACCTATAAAAGAGATTGAACGGTAATATCAGCGTGCGCCACGGCCATAATTGTAGCTAATCAAATACCTTCACATTCAGGCATGTTTTTGTTTACAGGGACCAAGCTTGTGGAGGTGGTTTGTTTGTGGAATGGCATGGCCAGTCTTCTTAATCAGCCTCATTTGCCGGTGAACACAGCCAATGGCATGTGAATTGTTCGCTGACTGTGTTTTAAGTGTGTCAGCGGAGAAATGAATGCTTTCGTTTTTTCTTTTTGTCCACCCTTGAATTAAATCAACCTGTTGTTATCCTGCGGCCATTTCTCCTCGTTTGATGACTGATGAAAAAATAATACGGCTGAGCAGAGCCAAGCAAGCCAAGTTGTTGACCTTACAATTCAAATTTCATAGAACTTCATATTCACACAAAAGAAAGAAATTGAACTAGGTCAGTTGTTTGCCATCAGGACAATCTAATCAGAATGTTAACAGTACAATTTAGAAAGTTCAGAGCGTAATTTAGTCTAAAACAGGCTGCTCAAGAGAATAAAAATAGTCAACCAGGGCTGAATTACTGGAAATAAGTGAGTAGTTGCAGTTGAAAAAAGGTACCAACTTTTCAATCCCAATATAATTGGTTTTTCAGATCCAAAACAGCTGGGTTTTATTGTTTTGTGTCACTGTGGCACAGTATCAGGCAAATCAGGAAAAAAAAGCCAAACTTCGTTGTTGGGGTACATTTACATCCTACAATAATTTATCAAGTACCATTTACCAAGGTTGTATATTTCATTTTCTGGTTTTCTTGAAGGTTTTCAGAGGACATTTAAGTCTAAACAATAATCCTGGTTTTCATACTCCAATAGCTAAAAGGCCCTAAAATTATATTTTTTCTATTTCATTCTTACTTCTTAAATGGAAACATAGAGGTTGCATAACAATCATGTTTTGTTGTGTAATTTCAACAAACATCTAGTATTTTGTGGAATATAGGTGGCATTGAATCAGAATGCAGAAAAAAAGATTCAGACACCACACACACTTTCACAACAGTGGAAAATTGAATAATTTTCAAGGCACCAAACGGTTGATTTTCTACCCACTCAATCTCCCCCCGGTTGGTGCTCCACATCA